GGCACAATTTGGGTGGAAAGGATGTCTCCCTCGGCTGCTTTGGCTCGGCGGTGGAGGCGGCGGTGGCGTACGCGCGGGCGGTCGGCGAGGAGGGGTCGGCGCCGCCGCCGCGCCCCGCGAAGCGCCCGCGCGAGTCTGCCGCTGCGCCCGCGCCAGAGCCCACCGCCCCTTCCTCCGCTCCCGCCGCCGCCGCCGCCGCCGCCGCCTCCTTTGCCCCGCCCGCGCCCTCCCTGCCTCCGAGCCGCCTCTTCGAGCTCCTGCCCGACGGCCGCACCGTCCACAAAGAGGCGCCTCCCGACAATGGCGGCATGGCGGCCGTCGCCGACGCGCTCGGGCGCATCGGGCTACAGTCCTACGTCGCCGCGTTTGACTCCGAGGGCTTCGACGACATCGACTTTCTGCTCGGGCTGGACAGAGCCGAGCGGGCCGCTGTGGCGACGGCGACGGGCATGGATGCCAAACCGGGGCACGCGGGGAAGTGGGTCAGGTTTGGCTTCGGGGTGCCTTGACAATCACCAATTCAGTACGTTTTCCCGTCGTGCCTTCCTTCTCTTCTCTTATTCATAACAGCAGTGAGGGACTGTGTGAGAATTCGATTGTTCCCTCTCGCAGCCGCGAGCTGCGCTGCGGGGTGCCGGTGGTATAGCCGTACGTATGTCTCTCGCTCTGTATCGTGGTATGGTGAATGTTGAGTGCAAAGAAAGTAGAAATGTCGGGGTTAGACTCACTGCCACCTCTTGCTCTCCGTCGACCCCATCCCGTTACAGGCGGCGTAGCAGCAGCCACGCTGCCGCCCAACTTCCGTATCCCGCCACCAACAAACCCGGCAGCGTCGGAGGGCCGCCAGTCTTACGGACCACCGCGAGCGCGCCGCAGCAAAAGCCCGCCAGCGCAAGCACGCCCTTTATGCACGAGGTCAAAAACTGGTCCAAGGCTGCGCTGCTCGACCCGCCAGCTGAAGGAGCAGCGCGGCGCACGAGCCAGAGGCTCAGAGGCACTCCGGTGGGAGCCGTGGAGAAGACGGCTGCGAGAAGCGGCGAGCTCGAGCGGGCCGCTGCCGAGACGGCGATGAGCACGAGCATCGAGACGACCAGGTCCATCGCCGCTGCTCCACCGCCGCCCCCACGCAGCCGCATCGCCTTGCGCTGCTGCTCCTCGCGGAGCTCGTCGGCGGTCGGATTGTACGTGATTATGCCAGCTAGAAGAGCCAGCGTCGGCACCGTGAGGAGGGTCACAAAGAGCCGCCTCGACGACTCGGGGACGGTGACCGTCTCCTCAGCAGGCGAGTAGGGTCGGAAGAGCGCAGCACCGTCGTCCCCATCCTCATCCGCTTGCGAAATTCGCAGGCGAGTGGGCGGGGCACGAGCGGCGACGGCGGGGAGCTTGATTTCTGGGCGCGGGTGAGCAAGGGTGGCCGAGGTGAGAGAGAGCGTGAGCATGCACTTGGCTGTCGGCGCCCCACCGCCCGCGCGGCGCGAATTTCTTTTTACATTTGTCCTAAGAAAGAGAAACGAGGAAGAAAGAGGAGTGGAATCAACAACCCCTAAAAGAAACAAAGGAAGGAAACGGAAATAAAAACGAGGGCTGGGTCGAGAAACCCTAAAAGAAACAAAGAAACCCATAGGTCCAAAAACACACATGTACATGTAACACAAACAAAACGCCCAAGTACTCGCTCTCTTTTATGTCCCACCATGCAGAGCGCATCTCTCTCTCTGTTGTGCGAGGCGTGAACCGCGCCATTCGCTCTCACCTGGCAACCCTGTCTGCACGTCTCGCGCGCGCGTGAACAGGGCTCCAGGCCCCAAATTACGTGTGAGTGTTAGAGTTGTTTGGTATTGCTAAAAATCTCTCTCTCACATGTACATGTGCAGAGAGAGATTTTTAAAGACCAACAAGAAATCACGACTCTCACAGTGATTTGGGCTCGGCAGCTTGTTAGCCCTCAGCCGAAGCTGGGGCCGGTCCCGTAGCCGAGAGAGCCCGCGCCGATGAGTTCGACGCGGTCGGGGGGGCCTGCGAAGACGGAAGAGGCCAGCGAGATGGCGATCGCTGTACTTCATGGGGGTCATCAAGTGACCGCGGCTGACAAGCCAGAGGTCGATACTCTGGGCGACCCATCGGATGCCACGAATGCCTGAAGGAGAGGGAGGCGAGGCCAGAGGCAGGCTCAGCTGCTCTCGGGTGATCCCGCTTTGGTGGCCGAAGGACCCGATGGTCCTGTCACATTCGTTCGTGGGGTCGCGGGGGTAGAAGAATTCGAGGTAGAATCGAGTCAGCACATCCTTGTAGTACAGCGGACCGCCAAACTCACCGGCAGCATCCGCAGGGAGGCAGCATATGAGGCACCAGTCTTCTGCGAAGAGCTCAACAGCTGCGGCCGCGATGGCAGAGTCGGCCGCGGTTCGAGCGAGCAGCTTTTGGCTGCGGGATCGAATCGCGGAAGGCTCATGCCCTCGCGGAGCGCGCGGGTGTGCGAAATGCGACAAAAGACGAAAGACGACAGGCGCCTGAGCGCTGTACGCCTGAACTTTTGTCGCCGCAATCGCCACCGCCGCCATCTTGACGAGCAGCGCGAGCGCGCTCGTCGGCGGCCAGCCGTCGCGGGCCGGGCCGAGCCCGGCCTCAACCGGCCGCGCCGCCGCAGCAGGCCCGGAGGCCCACATGGCGGCCGACCAGCTGATAAGGAGCTCTCTCTAGTCCATGTGCATGCAAATAGGAAAGAAAGAAAACAGACAACCTCATCATCACGCGCCAAGCGGGAGGGAAGTGGATGGGGCGGCCCTGAGCCGACCTAGCCCCAGACCGCGGAACGGGGCGCCCAACACGTGCCCGGATTACTGTGCCCTCCCCGGGTGCAGCCTTTCGGTTCGTGAAGGGTCGGTGCGAGTCGTGCTTTCCTCGATCCCCCTCCCTCCCCCGCCATCTCCGCCGCTTTGGCTCTCTAGCCTTACCACCATCGGGGAGGCGGCGAGGCGAAATCAGACTCGGTCGAGAGACCCCAGATTGGCATCCATGCCTTTCTGGACAGGGTGGCCCGCCACAACGACCCCTGTAATTGCGACTCGCCGCTTTCCTCCCGCTGTGATCCTTGTCTTGGTTTGCCAAGAAACAGACCTAAAACCCAAGAGAGGCTGCAGCACCTCGATTTCTCGTTTGTAAAATTCTCGCTGCCCTCTGGACCCTGGCGAGTAGAGGCCCCGCCCACCCAGGGTACCCTCTCCGAGGACCCATTGGGTAGCTCTTTCGAGGACTCGAGGGCTCTGCCCAAGAGACCTCGAGAGAGCGTGCGTGTGCCTCTACTCGCCAGCCTCTGGACCGAACAACAGCCACGCCATGGCCAAGCTCGGAGAGGGCGACGACCGGTGGATCGTCAAGGAGCGGGAGGTGCGTGGCCTCCACGTGCCTGCGAGGGCAGCCACGCCACTGCGCCGGCCGCTCCACTGCTCTCGCCCTCTCCCGCCGGCAGGACGGCCGCAATGTGAACAACTGGCACTGGTCGGAGACGAGCTACACGGAGTGGGCACGCGAGAAGCTCGGCGCACGCTTCGAGGGCGTCGCCATCGGCGACGGCACGCGCAGCGCCGGCAAGCTCCTCTCTCTCGAGACGATGAAGGGAGATGTGACTGTGCAGTCGCGCAAGCAGAAGCGCTTCCCTCTGTGCGCGGCACGGGTGGCGGGTCGGGCGCTGCTCGTCCATAGCACCGACCGGCTCGCTCCGTCCCTTCTCCCAGGTACGAGCTCGAGCTCACCATCCGATGGGAAGGCCAGCTCTTTGATGCGAGCGGAGGGACGGCCGTGGAGGCGCGCTCTCTCTCTCTCCCTCCTCCCTCCTCCCTCCTCACTCCCTAGTCCCTCCCCCCTCTCCCTCCCTC